ATCATGAAGGCGCAAGCTCTTCGTGACTCCTCGATGTCATCATACATGGCTTCGAAGAAGACACTTGAGCTAAACCCGAACAACGCTATCGTCAAGGAGCTCAGGAAGAAGGTCAAAGAGGACAAGGCCGACAAGTCTGTCCGGGATCTTACCTTCCTACTCTTCGAAACGGCGCTTCTCACCTCTGGTTTCTCTCTTGATGACCCAACATCGTTCGCGAAACGCATCTACCGCATGATCTCTCTTGGTCTCGATGTCGATGAGGACGAGTCTGCTCCTGCCCCTGAGCCGGCAGCTGAGACCCCCGCTGTCGCTGAGGGTGCTTCGACGTCGGCCATGGAGGAGATCGATTAGAGGGATTTGGTGGAGCTGTTTTTTGCTTTCCGTGTATCATTTTTGCATTGCTGTCATATCATCCATTACAGTCATCACATGTATTAGTTTAAAGTCATTACGATTTCATTCACTTTAAACGCTAGTGCGATAATAAGGAAAGGAAGGAAAGGCAGGTGGCCAGGGAAGAAGGGGCCGATCGGTAGGCCGAAGATCTCAAGTCCCACACGGGTGTATGGGAAGTGCCATAATGAAAGAGAATTGACTCGAGCTTCGTGTGAGCCTCGTGTCAGGAGTTATTGTGGATAGCGTCTAGGAGGCAGGGGAGTGATGGACGTATGGAAGGAAGCTGGCGGGTGATGCAGGAGAGCGTGTGCTAATAAGAGAAGACGAAAAAGGTGAAATGATTCAATGCTTCTTCCAAAGCTGTGATATCGTAGTGATCAGCCTGAAATAACGGGGATGCGCTACGCGTCGGCCAAGGAGTGTGCGGGGCAGCGGGCAGACGCGACGATCAAATTCACAAGGGTTGACAGAAAAAACGGACTGGGGTGTAGATTTTTGTGTATTTTTGCGGCAAAAGCGGCGGGCGGAGGAGAAGAGGGCGTGCACCTGGTGTCGATCTGGCAGACTCGATCTGGCAGGTTGAGGCGTGGAGGCAATGCGCCATTACGTAATCGAGGAGAGGAGTAGGCGGAGAGTGAGTTTGATCTGGTCCACATACAAGTACCTACCATGTTCTCCACCTAGTTGTCTTCTGCCCTCCCTGCTTGCCGCGGCCCCGCTCTGCCATGCCTGTTTTCCAGCCTCTGCTCCCCGCGTTCGAACCCGACCAGCGTCGAGACCGCCCGACTCCCAGCCGCTTCCGATCCCCGCCTCCCCCTCCTGAGCCCTCCGCAGTGCGTCTACCCTTGTTACCCGAGCTGTTTAAATCCTAACCGCGCTCAATTAGATGGTTAAGCCACCGTGCATTTCTGCCCCACGACGTCGCACAAAAACGACCTCACACTCGCTGCGTCGCCGCCGCCTTGTATCGCGCGCCGAGTATTGCAGGGAACACTCGCCACTTCATGCTTTTGATAAGCTTCCATGGATCGCCTCCCTTGATGCCCCTCCTGCCTATGATCATCCATGGGACATCGCCGATCTCTCCCTCATTCCTGATCCCACCACAACCCATATCCGTCCCTCCGGTCTAGGGCCTACCCGCCGTCGAAAAGTGTCTCCAAGGTCCAGTCCCATGTCGGACGACACTGTAGACGATATTCCTCTCCAAAGCTATAATATATTTCCTCGCGATGCCCCCTCACGCCCCCTCACACCCACGCCTGCACCCCGATTCGATCCCACACGTGTAACGTTCCGCCATCTCATGCCCGTGTCTGATGACGACGTGTAATTTTCTATCTTGTACGATAGCCCATCTTGAGCTGTTCAAGTTCCCATCTCCTGCTGCTTCTGCTGTTGTTTTCTTTTTCTGCGTTGGCACCCTGTTATTCGCTCTTCGCCACGCTCTTGCTATGACTGACTTGCTTTCTCCTGCTTCTCCCATTCGCACGAAATTCATTCGGCAATGCTTACGCCCCTCACCACTCGCATCATCGCATATATCGCTCCAGTCGACTCAATTATCTATTTTAACTCAAAGCCTAGAACCACGCTGCTGCTGCTTATTGTACCTGCTGTTTACAATTGCTTCTTCCCATTGTTCATGTTCATGTTCATCTCTTCCCTGATTTATTGTCTTTATGTATGCCCTTTTATCTTCTACAGCTGTTTTCCTTTGTGTATTAGCTCCTTATGCTTCTCGACTTTTACTTCTTTCCCTCGCTTTGACTCAACCTCTCCGTTCCCAGCATAATTTTATCTTAAACAACCTCATGGACCAGATGATTTTACCTCGTTTTCGTCGCTGCGTTATTACCTACTGTCGGTTTCTAATGACTTGCCCATTGCTCCGTACATCATTTGCAAATTATCGCATAGTTATCCATATATACATGCATGTACCTCCATCCACATACTCCATTCGTATTTATGACTCGACATATCGGGATCAATTGTGCAAAGAAACGAAATCGTTGGCAATAATCAAACTCACAAGCACAACCTAGTCATTGATGTAAAAATGACTAAGAGGCCATTGTTGCCTTGAAATAGACAACGACTTCACAGTTATTTGATCAACAAACTCACACAACCCGTCCATCAAAACACAACCAAAATGTCAGCAGCGTCCCGAGTCATCAATTTCGGTGCAGGCCCTTCAGCCTTGCCTGATTCTGTATTGCAAGAAGCAACCAAAGGCCTACTTAATTTCGAAAATACCGGAATAGGGATAGCCGAGATTTCCCATCGTTCGCCGGAATTCACATCTTATCTTGCAGGCGTTGAGGCGCTCATCAGACAGCAACTCGGTGTCCCGTCTACCCATTCTATCTTTTTCACACAGGGCGGCGGTACTGGTCAATTCTCCGCTGTCGTTCTTAACCTCCTCGCACGCCATAGGCTCCTCTATCCAGATTTGAGGGACGAAGAACGCGGATTAGATTATGTCCTCACTGGCTCATGGAGCAAAGCTGCACATACCGAAGGACTGAGGCTTGGCGGTGGACAAGTCAATATCGTAGTCGACGGGAGGCTACACTCCAAAGACGCGAAATCATTCGACAACATCCCACCTCACGCATCATTCAAATTCTCACCAAACCCCGCACTCATATATTACTGCGAAAACGAAACCGTCCACGGCGTTCAGTTCAATCACGCACCTGAATCCATCGACAGCGAGGGTAAATCCGTCGAAGGGACTTTCCCCTTCCACCTTTTGCCACAGGGGCAACTCGCCCCACTCGTAGGAGATTATTCCTCCAGTTTCATGTCACGCCCGATCCCGAGGCTCGCAGACCACGCGGTGATTTACGCCGGCGCTCAGAAAAATATCGGGCCCGCCGGATTGACGATCTTGATCGTACGCAACGATTGTATCGTCGACGTCGACGCTGCCGCCAAGCTCGGCGCACAACCCATACCTATCACTCTCTCCTACAAGACCCTAGCCGACGGAAAGAGCGTGTATAATACGCCACCCGTATTGGCTATTTATATCTCCGGGTTAGTGCTAAAGAGGAATTCGGAGTTGGGTGGGGTTAAGTATTACGAGAGGGTGAATAAGAAGAAGGCGGAGAAGGTTTATGAGGTGGTGAGGGAGGGAGAGGAGAAGGGCGTGTTTAGGGGACATGTGCAGGAGGGATCGAGGAGCTGGATGAATATCGTCTTTGTGGTGCTTGGTGATGGGAAGGAGAAGGCGTTTTTGCAAGGTGCTGAGGAGAAGGGTATGACTGGGTTGAAGGGACATCGGTGGGTGTTTTTCATTACTATTATTTTGTCGAATTTAGCTGACTCACGCCTACGTTGTCGTCCCTGGGTTTAGTTCTGTCGGAGGTGAGTTGGTTTCTTGTCCTTCGACTACGCATCTGTTAACCTATCCTTGTAAATTTTCAGGCATTCGCATCTCGCTCTATAACGCCATCACCGAGGAGCAGACAGACAAGCTCGTCGCCTACATACGCGAGTTCCTGGAATCTCAGTAGATCATATCCAAAATGTATATCGGATTAAATAACAAACTATTCCCCTCGACAAAGCCTCCTTCGGCAGATACAAGTCCAGCTTCAGTAAAGCTTCAATAAATTTGTTGAATAAAAAGATATTGAAATCCTCAGGTATATA